AAAAAAAAAATTTATGCAGGTTATGCAGAGCGAAATACGAACGGTGCTGCATTTAGAAAGAATTCTTATTAACTTTGCTATTATTCTTGAATTTTCAAACTGCTAACACTTTGCAGTTTCGAATTATGCCTTTACTGTATGACCAAAAATTACGGAGTAGTCTATTTAATGTTTCAGCTGTTTGATCGCGCCGGCGCCTCACGCTAAGCTACTGCATTCATCTGAAACAGCAGCTGTTCACCGTGCTGTTCGGCGTGAGACCCGGCACCGCTCCACTGTGGCATAGTTTTGCTCATTATGATATTTTTCCGTCGATACTGGAACGCGCATGAACTACAAAGCCTATTTTACCTAATAAGGCTAATAGTTTAGCTTCAGCTACATCACGAATATAGACACATTTGGATTTGTGCCTGAGAGAGGTAAGCCCAACTTTACCTTACGTTTCTTTATAAATGAATTTGTTTTGGCTTGTTTATTGCTAAGCATATATTATTATATACTGCAATTATATTTATCCAGAATTATATATTTTTAAATTCTTATTCTGTTCTGATACGTTAAATTTAAAGGATTTGTTGTAAAGTGAGGGGAACTAAAATATCCTATAGTGTTCATAATGTTGGTACATTATAACATTATTAGGCCTGCCGTTATTATTTCTGAAAATGCAACTTATAGAGACGTATCTTTTTTAAAAAAAATTTTATTGTGTTTTTAAAAGCATGCAGCAAACGAAAATATGCGATTAATCTGTTAAAATTTGTTACTGTGGGTTAACAAATTTACATTAGTAGGCTATTCTTATGCTTGGCTTCACAGATAGCAACAGAGTCTGGGCCAAATCTGGTTTACATTCACTTCTGGCTTTTGGTCTTGATTGCAAATGTTTTTTTATATTTTTTTATGTACGATGGATAATTAAAACAAAAATCAGGCGTGTGTATTTTATTATTTTATTTTATATTAACATCAATTACTAGGCCTACATTCTTTTTTCCAGAAATGGAAGTAACTTAAAATGTTATTGTGTGTTTGTAATTTTAATATTTTTATCTATAGGCCTATACAGCAAAACTACAGAGCTTCCAGTA